ATGCAACAAGCAGCATCCTACCTGTCTGCACGAGGAGAGAGACAAAGGAGAGCAAAAGGCACCACAAGTTAAGCAAAGCCAAGTTCAAGAGAAGTCACATAACCAAAATCAAGAAAAGAATAAAGCAAAACCTCAAACAGTGCAACCCAAAGACACCGCCACAGCTTCTACTCTACGAGTCATTCAGGATGAAGCTACTGTGCAAACGGCTGCAATAATTCCTGTCTGGCTATCGTCTGCCACTCAGCCAGCACAAGAGGTGCTTGTATACGCACTGTTAGATTCCCAAAGTGATACAACTTTTGTGCTCAGTGAAGGACAAATCTGAGGACAATCCGGCAGATCATGCCCAGAAAGACAGATAAAAAGATCCATGTTTCCTGGTGTTCTAGAACTTTGTATGGTCCGTTTAGCAGGGGGAAAAAACCATTTGCAATAAGTGGAAAAACAATCTACTGCACTCCAAGACTATGACTATGATGTTTGAGCTGGATATTTTGTAAGCACGACAGACCAGAGGATGTGTCATTTTGGCATTTTAACTAAAACCACATTTCCTCTAAAGACATGATGATAATACACCTAGAATCTTTCTAAACTTTCATTGAAACCTGGAGATTTTTCCATCAGTAGAGATGAGGTCTGTGATTCATGGGGATTAAAAATCTTTGACTACATGTTTTTCAAAAGAGATACATCAATCAGCATTCTAATGGAATCATGTCTTTATAACCTTCATGACATTTGAAGCCACGTATGCTACAAAAGTCGTTTTAAATTAAACGCAAGTTCAAGTCGGTTCTAGCGTTAACGTTAACACAGGTTAAGGACAAAGAAAAGGTGCATATATAACTTGTGTTTGGACAAAAGATGTAGTCGATGTCAAGAATATTGTTTGGCAGCTCATTTTGTGTCCTTTATTATTTTTAAACTATATTAAAATATGCTTATGTCTTAAAGTTAAATATGAGTAACTCCTTCAGTTATTTTAGTGGCTCAGAAAAAAACGTGTAGCCCTATTTATTTTTTTGCTAGTAAAGAACTGAAATGGGTTATTAATGTGGGGGCCAGGCCCATCCATGGGGTGCAACGCTATTTATTTGACCTACAGTAAGGAAAATTCGCTGATACGTAATAAAAGTACTTCTATAGAATTTTCACTACATAATATTAAAAATAATTCCCCATGCGTGAAATTTACAGAGCGAGTCTTTGCAACCAGCACAGGCTGCCACAGGAGGCGCCATTAAGTTTGTGGTTGCAACACACAGGCTACATTATGGAACCACTGAGTTAGTAGCAGTGGCCGGGAATCGAAACCCGTGGCAGACAAGAACTCTACCACGGACTCACCATAGCTTAACAATGCATAACAATGAATACCATGACATTTCTGCACATAGATTTTAAAATATGTACAATATTCAAAGTCCTGTATTTTAAATCAATATGATGAAACAAAAATGTAAGTAATGGAATTATTTCAATTTTATTAATTAAAAATGCATGGTCTAATGCCATCAAATAATTACATACATCATAAAGTGGAATGACAAAAGAGGCAGTACATTGTAAAATGTTGTAGAGGATGCTAACTTGCTTTGAACATTGTTAAACAAAAACATTTATTACAAAAAGACTGAAGGTTTAGAGTCATATGTTAACATAAGCTTTAAGGCAGTGTTCAAATGAAGGCAAATCATGTTTCAGCCAACCTCCAACTACATGAAGGACGGACATCTGTTCATTCTCTCTTCTCTGCATATAATAGCCCGATTTTTATTATTAAGTACAAGCAATAGTATACTGCTATGGTTAGAAATATGAAGTCACTGCTAATCTCGATATGCTACACATGCATATAAAACTAGGGACCATCAGAGTGCAAACTCACATTGAGGCTGATTCATGTCTCACTGCCACTGCAGGCATGGATCAAGATGAAAACCAAAATCCTACTTTTTTTTTTTATTATAATTTTCATTGCAAAAAAAACATGAATATCTTAATCTCAATAAGTGTACATGGGTTTCCTTTTAAAGTTGTTATATTCAAGACTGAATTAGGTTACGAGGTCAACATTTTCTAAAAAAAAAATTAAATTAAATTTAAAAAAAAATCCCTGGGTACCTTTAAAAATTTCATCATGTTAAGACCACCGGCTTAAAGACACAGCCCTTTAACATTTAAAAGCTTTTCCTACTTGCAACAGTGTGCCTTGAAAAAAGTTACTGTCAAAGTATAACAAACAGTGATGCATATAAGGCAAAAATCCCTTGTCACCAGAAAGGCAAATATCAAATTGTACCTATGACTTCAGGCTGTTACTTAATATATACCCCATGGGTTTTTTTTTTTACAAAGTTCTTAAAACAAATAGTATTTAAAGCATTAGTAAACAATTATTTGAACATCATTAATGACAGCACCCACTTGCATCTTATATTTGTATGTGGATACTACTGGTACGGATCTATGCAGTGATCATTACGTTCATTCAGAGATGTGGTACAATACATCTACAACTGGTTCCAAACCGTTTACTGGCCCAAACTACATGATATTTCGCTAGGTCTCACTGTCTAGTAAAGAAACCTGTAAAACAATGCCAACCCTGGTTTGACTTAAGCCAGCTGGTGCCTACATGAAATCAGACGTAACACCCAATAGTTCTTGTAAAGTAATGCAACATCTCCATGTGGGACCACCAGTTTTAAATATGATTCCAGCGAAAACTCATTAGGATAGGTACAGGTACTGAGTTGTAGCCTACAGCAAGACACATGAACAGGAAAGAGAAAAGGAAAAAAAAAAAAAGAAGATTAATTTTGCTGTTTGGGTTTAAGTCAACCTGCTGCTGAGGTAAGGAATATGATCCTTTGCTACCTGTGGCTTTAATCAACCAAAGGGTTTTTCTTTTGTTTTTACACGATGGACATGTGTAAAAAAAAAAACAAAAAAAAAAAAAAAAAAAAGAGAGAGAAACCACTAAAGTAACAAGAAGAAACTGGCTTCAGGCTTTAACTCCAAACATCTTGTGAATAGCGTCCTTTGGTCATCAGTTTTTTTATGTAGTCTGTGGCCTGGGTGCGCGTCATGCCTTCTACTTCTTCTGCAATCTCGTAAAAGGCGGCCTGCACGTCCTTTGCCATGTTTCTTGCATCCCTGAATCAGGAGAAATGAAAGTTGAGATCAGTGGTGGGCAGAGTACTTGGTCTGTACTAAATTGTTGTCTGATAATTTGTCTTCTTATATTGATTTCGATGATATTGACAAATTTCTCCATTAGCCACCAGGAGGCGCAAATGTGCCGAGAACTCTTATAAACAAACCCTAGTGTTATTAGTTTACCGATTTATTTTTATTCATCACATTGTCAGCATAATGAGATTTACATTTCAAGTATTCGTAATAGCAGTGTTACAGTTAATCAGAGTTGTTAATTACCCGCAGATAAAGATGTGAGCGTTGTCTGAATGAATCAGCCTCCAGAGGTGCTCTTTATTATTCTTCATCAGATGCTGCACGTACACCTTTAAATCAGCAGAAAGAAACAGAGATAATCGTAGATAAGTACAATCTGTAATAAGGTGACTTAAACCCTAAACAATACAAGTACAACGTGTGACACCATCAATAATAAGGAGGCTGAGAAATTGTAAAAGTCTGGAATCTTAAAATGTGAGTGCTGTGACTTAAAGAGCCGACTTGGCTGCAAATACAGTATGGAAACATCAACATCACACTTGTCACCACCAAACATGACAGGAAGGTTAAGTAAACCTTAATATTCACATACAGATAACCAGTTTTGCCTACACACTTCATCAGCGGTGAGAACATCTGGTCTGGACAATCATACCTTCTGCTCCTGGTCTCTGGAGAAGGCAACGTTTAACTGAGTAAGGACTTCATTCTTCTCTGCTTCCTCCAGCTCCTCCTGGTACAAATAATCCTCGTTCTTGTGCCTGCAGCCAAAAAACATCACCGTCTCCCCCACCTCCTTTCCTGTAATCACAAACAAGTCAAAATCAAAAGTTGATCCAGTCATGTTTTTTTTCCAAATGTTGCTGGAGTCTTTAACAAAACATCTGCTACAATTAAAGATATTAATTAATATTAAATATAAAATCTAGCATAGAAACACAGTCCTCCAATGTGTCCAGTGACATATACTGTATGTAGACATGTTCCACAGGTTAATGGTAAAGACTGGTATGTTGTATCCTGTGGTCTGTTGTTCAACAAAACAAAACACAAGAAACAGGCTGACTGGTTCGGTGCTGGACATCCATTTAACATACTGTTTGATACATTTCCAGACTACTGCGCGCATCTGAATATAAGCCGCACCCAATTGATCTAAAAATAAGAAAAAAATAATTGTACATATATAGGCCGCACTTCTCTAAGCTGCATGCGTCTACGTTGTAGACGTAACATTGGATATTTACAAAGAAAATGTTACACAGAAAGTTTTCTATTCACTTTTTATGAAATAAATGCTTTTTTTAGTGCCAGATACATGGCTGGTTAGACGTTAGCTCTTTCCTGCTTTGGTGCCCCGACCGTAGTTAGAATACACAGGGGAGACTTAGTGATCTGCTCCAGGACTGAAGCTAACATTAGCTCTGGGGCTAACTCCCTAACCCCCCTAACCAGAGAATCATTGATCGCTAGCAGCTATGAACTTCACTAGCCTATAAAAATTCATAAATTAGCTGCATCATTGTTTAAGCCGCAGGGTTCAAAGAGTGTAAAAAAAAAAAAGTAGCATCTTATAGTCCAGAAATTACGGTACTTCAACATCTACTTTCTTGAAAAATCATCAGTAAATACCTTGCTCTTTGAGCCAGCCGCTCTCCTGGATGAAGCCCATAAAGGGAGCGATTCCAGTTCCAGGGCCAATCATAATGACTGGGTTGGTGGCTTTGAAGGGCAGACGAAACTGAGACTTGCGGATGTACATCGGAACGGTGGATTTGTGGCCATTGTCAGTGACCAGTTTATTCTTCAGCCAGTTTGTGGCCACTCCTTTGTTAGTGCGTCCAGTGTTGGTCTTGTACTCCACCACCACTGCACAGATGTGGATACTGTTGGGGTGAACCTAGAGCAGAAGAGAGTTATTCTTTCATCCACAAAATGTTTTAAGGGTAGTTTGGGGAAAAAAAAAAAAAAATCTACAACAGGGTTTTCCAAGTCGGATGAGCCCCAATATCTTCTTGTTTGAAAAAAAAAACACAGCTTTACAAACCGATTACAAATGAATCTATTAATTAACAAAACCTCCTCCTTTTCAGTCCAACCTTGCCGTATTTTTTGTTGTTTTAATTTTGTAGAGCATTTTGCAGGTGTTAATTTAAAACCCTAAAATCTTTTGTCATGACTCGAAATTAATGGTTTATTTCAACTAACAACTATCCTGATGCATATTTAGAAATTAAACACATTTTCATGTGAATAAATTACGTATCAAGTCACACGGGATCCCAAATGATCAAGAAGAAAAAAAAGCACTATTCCTTAATGGGTGGAATTTTAAATGCAAATTTAAGTTTTTATATGCTTAAATGTTAAAACATCTCCATCACCTATATTTGGCAAAAGTGATCTTTTAAAAACACAAAAACAGCCTGGATGAAGTAGCACTAAAACCAGTTAAAAGTCCTTCACTGGACTCCGTGTTTTTAATAGACTTTTCACCAAACAAATGTACAAATGTTTTGGATGCACTCCAAGAATGACAGTGTCCTTGTGACAATATTTAAATGTAAGATATTAAGTATAAGATGAAGGATATTTGGATTTTTTTTTTTTAAAACACAGATACTGTTTAAATAAACATTTACCTTGGATGAGGAGGCAATGGAGTAATAGCGAGCCTGAAGACGAGGCAGGAGCTCGCACAGATGATCAATAGGAGGCTGCAAAGATGGCATATCTTCCAGGACGGCAAGGATGTTCCTGCAGGCATCCAACACCCAGCTGTGGTAGAGAGCCTGCATAAATGTGACGAAAGGTGCAGAAGCTGTTGCTGAAAGACATCAACAGAGCTCACTTCTTTAAGCACAACAGAAACAACAATTCTGGGCATCACTGACCTTGCCCTCAGGAGAGGAGGAGGCCATTTTGCGCAGGTGTTCCTGGTCTTTAGGGTCGGAGGCGTACTGTGCCAGCTCGTAGAGGACGTTGGTGCGAGGAGGGTGTGTGATGTCAAGGTAATGAGTGAGCGCCGTGCGATACGTGGAAGGACAGGGGAAGGGATGCTTTTTGTTGGACTCATCTTAAAAAGAAACACGACAAAAAAAAATATTTGACCCATACAAAGGAAATTTCTCTTTACACTTTGCTTGACAAAAAAAAAAAACAACTGTGTATTCAACTGCTACAGCTCTTACACTTTATTGCAGCTATAACAGTACTGACTATCACGGTGACGCATATCAAGACGGGGATTATCTAAGGGGGCCGGGTTAGCGAAGCAGAAGTGTGTGGGAGATGGTTCAATGCCATACCATCAAGGTTGTTGAGCGAGATAACCACATCAAGGTCCACTCCAAGGACTTGTCCCAGCTTGTTCACCAGCATGGAGTCATTGGTAGGGAAAACAGCTACATGGTCGCCTGACTCGTATCTGTTCAATATGTACAAAAGGTGATTACACTTTGTTCCGTATTGAAGGTCATGAAACAGGATAGCTCACCCAGTGTGTCGTGAAGGTCTGATGTTGTCAATGACTATGTTTACCCGTGCCGTTTCCCAGGTGAAGCGCCAACAGTGTGGGCAAAGCGTGCTTTTATAATTACTTTAGTTATTTTATGGTTTGTATCAGTTGTAATTGTTCCGGTGTTTCTTTCCATTTACAATTTTTTTCCGGTTTTTCTGTTGCTCCGGCACCTCTCACCAACGTTATGCATGTGCACGTGACCACACTCACCTGATCTTAGATCCTGTGATGTCCAATTCCAGGTGCATGAGATGTCTATCACCGCCTTTGTTGAGTCTGCGGTTGACAGTAACAGGAGCAAGGAAAGGATTTTTTGCATCGTAGGGCCTGAAAATAAAGAACACATCATTTTACAGTTAAATGAAAAAAAATACAAACTTCTGTATGAAGAATCCTAAAGATATATATAATTCTTGTTACAAATTAAATTGTCATGGTCTGATTAAAATAGGACTGGATATTTAAAAAAAATCCATGTCCACAAAGGGCCAGACGGTTTGCAAACCAGTACACTTACACCTAAAACATACATTTCTATAAAGGAGCCATGAATGAGCAGATGGTTCTTTATTGAATGCACTCACGGCTTTTGGACTTCGAAGCTCTTCAGGCGGCCAATCTCTCCTGTGAATACTTTGTTCATGTTGATGTCAGTGTGCACCTTCAGCTCGTACTGCCGTATGCTGTAAGTCGAAAAACAACAACAATTCAGACAATGCACACAGAAATATTAATATATATACACACACAGAGAGACTAGACCAAATACAAAGTTAAGTCATCTGACATAATTTTACGTGTAAAACTTTAACAACTTATTAACGACATATTTCAGGTTCTCCAACCTCATTAGATGGTTTTATTCAACAGATAATCTTTGTCAAGCACAAACATTGCTTTGTTAACCAAACTCAAATGGGAATCTGTTAAAATACTTAAGTTTAAAAAAAAATTAAATTTGTTTTGTCAAGATAAATATTTCATCATCTTACTACTAACAACTGTTCTTTACATTATGACCTGGTTAGGTAGACTGACATGTTGTATATTTTCTGAATGGCAGAAAATTTACACCATTTAACCACCAATATTCTTATTTAAAAAAAAAACAAAACAAAAAAAATCACCTGGAGTCGTCTCCAAGAGATTCAACACCAAAGTGCTCACAGACAGCCGGCCAGAACTGCTCTCTCCAGGAAATGAAGTCTTCCTCAATACTGAAAGACAGACAGAACAACATTTAGACTTTGTATAAGGCATAAGGGTGTTATATATTTATGCATTTTATTAAACCTACACAATGAAATTGTAATGAAATGTGCAGAACTGTTGACAGTTCGGCCTTGACCTTAAGCATAGCTATTCGACTTTGTGACACATAAGTGGTCACTTATAAGAGAAGTCAATTTACACTGGTCTTAATTTGTGCTTAATGTCAACTATGTTGATACAAACAGCTGAAGTACGGATGTGTTTGCAGCTCCAGCCGATGTGGTGGACACTTACTTTCCGTCATCATCTCCCATTCCTAGGTCGTAGATGCGCTTGGCTCCCAGTTCTTCCAGCCTTTTATCAACATATTTGCCCATAGCGTTATAGTGCTCGTACGTCTTGTTACCTAACCCAAATATCTACACATAGAGCACGCCAGTTATTGTCCAATGGCTTGTAAATTGTCAATGTGTAATATTTCATATCATGAATTTTAAAAAAAAAAAAAAAAATCCATATGCAAAAATATTTACAGAGTAGTTTAAACCAGAGAGGTCTTCATCATCGTTTTCCTGCAGCCAGTCATAGAAATCCTGGGCGTTATCTGTTGGGTCTCCTTCACCGTAGGTGGCCATGCAAAATATGGCAAGTGAGTTTGGAATCTCACCGAGCCGTGACAGTTCCCCCTGGAAGACAATTTACAAAAAAAAAAAAAAAAAGAAAAGAAAAATCACCATTAAGAAAATAATTTAAGTAAGAGTTCCCTCATCAGCCAATAAAACATCATCCTATCCATGAATATGAGTATATTTTTGTACTTTGTATTACTACACCTGAAATAGTTTACAATAGTTTTACAATGTTGTTTTTGGGTACTGCCCTATTAAGTTGTACACAGCAGATACATGGCCAACAGTCTTTTTTTTTTTTTTTTTTTTTTTACAATAGCAGCAGCTTCTCAGTCAATGGTCAGGGATTAGGATGTTTTTGACTTGGATTATAACATCATGACTATGGATTTCCAGTGGCAGCTGAATTAATCAAAGGACAAAAGAGGGGAAAAAACTCTTGTGAATTTCCCTGATACTATGAAAAACATTCATTATGGCTTCTATAAGAATGACCTGGACTTATTTTTCCTAAACTGTGGTTTGTATTTTGTCTGACTGAAAGCCTAGTTACCATGTCATACTCCTCAGGGTCAGCAGCCATTCCTTTCATGCCATAGCGCTGAGCGTCCTTGGACAGTCTGTTAGCAAATTCCTCTGCTGTGCCAGTCTGGGAGCCATAGAACACAATGATGGTCTTGCCCTGGATACAAATCAGCAGAAAGTCATTCACAGGCTGCGCGTGCAAACAGAAACATCTCTGTGTCTCCCCCAAGTGTGGCCAAACACGTGGCCTATATGCTGTGTGTGTCCAATCACACGCAAAAATTGAACAAATGATCGTTATAGATGTGAAACACTACTTGTACAGTTTGAGAGAAAGAAAGACATTTTTGCTAATCTCTGATATCCAGGACTTTTCATAACAATTATTTTTGAATGGATACATTTATTAGAGATACAGTATATTTGACAAGTTGGAAAAGAAAAAGAAAGATGACACCTATTAAGACGAGTTATAAAGGTAATGTAAACAAAAGAAAAAGAAAGATGACACCTATTATTTAGTTAGTCGTTAGTACACACTTGTAGTATTTAGTTTTGGGGACTTTTTCCCCACACGTATTATGACATCAGTAACAACATTCATGAAAACTTAGCATACTAATGTCTTCTCTCTGAAGACAAACACCAACGTTTTAAATTACAATATTATTTAGTGCAATATGCATGACAAAGAACAAAGCAACACAACTATATACGTGGGACCCTGGTTACAAGCAATATTCATGAACTTAAGTGACATCACCAGGTGTCACTATTCCTATGTGTAATATCATGTGGTTCTCTACCATCTACTTTCCTCTAAACAGGATGACCAGTTGCAAATCTGACATCAAATGTTTCAGAAGTGTTTAAACTGTATTATTTTAAAAGATTATTTTTAAATAAAGGAAGTAAATGGATATTACTAGTCTTTCTTAGAATAAAGTAAATTAGTCAAAATTAAATACATTTTTTTTGTGTGTCCATTGCGTCCTGGTACTAAATGACCTATGGACTGGTACAACACCATATGGAGGTATACAGGGGCTTTAGAGATATTACAAACTTAGTGACTGTAACTCACGTTTTCTCTCAAATCAATGTCTTGAATTCATGAATTCACAGTGATTTCCTTTCAAATAAGCAGATGCTAACTTTATTAAAACTATGTACTAGTTGTCAATGCATGCAAAGACCAACACAGGAAGCCCCCTTCCTTAACTACGTTGCAGTGATGTGACAAAAACTGTCCAATATTCAGTCTCAATTTCTTCTTCCAATGCATTTTCTTTTTTTTATATATATATTGCTACTTCTGCAGTGATTTCTCAGTATCTCAGAGAAGGGACTTAAATTAAAATAAGCCCACATCAATCCATTAACACATGAGTATTGATTCAATCATTTAAAAAAAGCAGAGATTGAGACAAACTCCAACAGCAGCAGCATCCAAACCTCTGTTCAACAACCACTAAGGCCTCTGAAATATTTGCTGCAAAAACCACATGACTTAAAACGCTGTCTTTTTGGCCTCAAAAGACATAACCATCAAAGTATGAACACAGGCTCATCACAGTTTTCAACTGGATAATTTAATTTCTTAGGTAAATACAGCCATAGCTGCAAATAAATAGTAATAACAGTGAAGTATTCAAACTTGAACACTTTTCACATGACTTGTTCGTGCATTATTGAATCCATCTTGAAGACAACCTACAACAACAGAAGTGAACTGTGAACTGAGTTGTCTTAGTGACAATCACTCACCGTCTTCTTCATTTTCTCAATAAAACTGGTCTCCCTTGAGCTGGGAGTTCTGCAAAAAAAAAGAAAAAAAAGAAAAGAAAATATTATTAATGGAGCAAGTAAAAAGTTAGAATGTAATTATAAAATTATTTTAGTGTTAATTGTTTTAATTAAGGACTCCCTGATTCCCCTGAAGCTACAGTAAGTAACATTAACTAAGGAGGAACACACACACACTGTGCTCATGGAATACTAAGAACTGGGTCCCACATTATTGATGTTTTAATGATGAGATCAGGACACAACTAAAGTCCAGATTTGACTTTAATTGTGTTTTAAATATCGACAGGTTGCCTCAGTGTATGATGTTAAGACGAATGCCGTCAAAACGAGTTAAAGGCAATGGAAAGAAATGACTTTAAATGAAAGCATGTCCAACCACCAATATCAATGTCATGAGGTGAGACATACAGTACCTGAAAGAGAAGCATAAATAAATAAAACACTTTTATACATTTTCAGCAATAACACAACAGATAGCAGCAGACTGGTAAATGTTAAAGCCTGATATGAAATGTAATTGCATCATATAATATTTTCCATCAGATATAAATATACTGCATATCCTTAAGGCTAACAGCTCGTGGTTATTGAAGAGAAGAGAACCGGAAAGCCGTGTTTATTATACAAGAAACTAAAATGCCACACTGTTTAATTCAGCATCAAAGCTCTGAACTGGCAGCAATTATGTCAATACAACAAAAAAAAAAAAAAAGGAAAAAAAGCTAATTGAGATGCATGAACTGGAGAATATATAGTCACTCAATGGGCTCATTATGACAGCCGAGGGGATTCTTTTTTTTAATCATTAAAATACAAACGTCAGATAACTTGATTTTTGTTGGAATATTGTCTTAACCAAACCAAGCCTGTAAAAAAAAAAAAAAAAAACACCTACACATAGTTTAACAACATCAATTATTAAGGATGCAGCTGATTGAGTTTCATAACCTGCTGTAGTTTTAATAGTTTTTCAGGTTCAGAATTTTGTAAACAGGTTTATTTTTAAAGGGATTCTCCCAATGAAGATGGCTGCCCTAACATGAAATTTAAAAAAAAAAAAACAGACCCAGACCTTAATAAGGATCTTAAACCAAAACAAACCAAATTCCTGACAGGAAAGAAACACTGGCTGTAATCTGAGATTAAACTTTGAGGCAATGTGTTAGAACAGTAATTAGTACCATCTGTGTCACAGGCCCCACAGTTAAGGAAGGTTTGTGCATCTTAAGACAAGAGCAAAAAGCAATTAAAGATACATCACTAAACACCACTCTGCAAATAGTTTGTAAAAAACCTGATAAAGAATAAAAAAAAAAAAACGTTCGAACCTTTTTTAATACAAGCTGCGGTGTGATTGTTTTAAATGACATTGCTGAAACAAGAATTATCTGCCGAGCCTTTCAAGTTCGTTTGATCCCAAATATGAATTGAATTAGTACTCTGTACTGTGTATCTTTACATAAATATTGGGAAATTAACTATTTTACCATTTTCGGCTTGTGTCACAAATGCATACTTGTTTCCATTCTTTTTTTTTAGATGAAATAAGACGAGTTGACAATTTTACTTATTGTCAAATAAAAACAAAATGTTATCAACGAACCCACATATTTCAGGCTCAAACATATTTAGGTGTGATGTCATAATGCCATCAATAAAACTCATATCAAACACAAAGATCTGTTGGGTTATTAAACACGACTCCTACTCGCTTACTGTAGCTAGAGAAAAACAGTAAGTGAGAAAAAAGAAAAATCCAATTATTGGATGTTGTTGAGATTTTAATCGTGATCTCTTATGTAAGCAACAAGGTAAATTGAATTGTTTTTAAAACAACAGACTCCTTTGGTCTGTTGGAAACTAGCATCTCTCTTTCTTGCATGAACAGCCAAACAGTTTGGCTCTAATAAAAAAAAAAAAAGATTTTAGTCAAACACACAGAGACATGCACACACATAGTAGTTGTTGGCTTTAAAAAGCACTGACATTAGAAAGTTGTCTTAGTCTGGTTATCAAACACTTCACTGACCTCTCAGCAGCATCTCTCCTGTTCTCAGGCAGGGAGAAGACACAGCCCATGGCATACAACACTACTACAAAAACCTCTGGCTACTCCACGTCGGGAACCGTCACACTCAAAATCAAAGCCAGAACGTGAGACATAGCACAGCCATAGAAGAAGAAAAAAACAATCCATGGAAAATCAGCAGGACATTCGTTAGGTTTGGAAGAGCTGTTGGTTTCATCAAAGAAGCTCCAACACGGCATAACTAAGTCTACCTCTCCGTATGTTGCTCTCCCAAAGCAGCAGTGTCTGTTTTGCACATACACAGGCTTGCATACACACACGCTCGCGCTCACACACACACATACAGAGCAGAGCGCAGCAGTCTACAAGCCTTGTCAGTGTCTGGCAACTGCTAAAGACACAATGGTGGGAAACTGACTTTCCCATAAAACGGAGCTGAGCTGCAGAGCCACACTTGTGACTCATACTAAAACACAGTGAAATAGTTTAAGGGTAAAAATGCCTTCCTCCACATCTCCACCCTTTCCTGCTGTGATATGAAGGTGAAGTCTCAAAAAACCTATTCTGAGAATTTAGCCGGTTATCAGACCCACAAAAAGGGGTGCTGTGAATGTTGGTGGATGAATTTTTTTTTTTTTTTTTTTGTAAAGTTTGACCCCACCCCCATCTTACTGGAGGAGAGAGGGGGAATGTCATTGCTATAGCAACCTCATTTATCATAAAAGGATTGCATTTGTGACCTGGCCTGTCTCCAAAAGCAGCGCAGCTCAGCCTCAAACGCACAAAGGGAAAATAGGGAGCCGGGGAAAGAAGACAGAAAAGTAAGACGAAGAAAAGAAAGAGCTGCTTGTATTTTTCCCCGCAACTTTCCACCTTCAGAGAGGGCTCTCAAACGGAGCATGGCTGGCTCTTCTCATTTATTCTCCGGGGGAACTTTCAGAATGGGTTCAGGGCCAAACACAAAAGCACAGGAAAGACATGGAAGGCTACGCCTCCTTCATAACTGTTAGGTAATCCTGGAAGGGGAGGGGAGATGTGTTCTCTTCCTATAGTTCCCCCTGCCACAGACACACACACACACAGAGCACAAGGCAAAAATAAACCGGTAGAAATCTTTTCACTTTACAACCAGCATTGTGTTTTCACTACAAAACACCCCTCCCCCGCCATTAGACCCCCCCAACACAGTCTGTCTTCTCACAGTCTTGGAGCAAGAACATGTTTGCCCTCGACTAAACTTTTGGTTTCCATCAAAAAAAAGTGTGCAATTGTGGTAGAGGAGGGGGCTAATTCTGGGGCAGGCTACACGGGAGTTCACTAAAGTCCACTCTTCTTGGGTAAACGATCGCGGAGGGGGTTGGGGACGGGAGGGGAGGGCCCACAAGAGCCAACACCGACGAGAGTAAAAGAATCAAGCAAAGGTCAGAACTAGTGGAACATTTACGAGAGCTGTAATCCATGTCCTCTCACACACTTGTTTCAAGGCAAAGAGTGTGATAATATGTAATAAGCATGAGGAGGAAAGACAGTACCACCACATATGTGTTGTATTATATAGCTTTTTTTTTTTTTTAAACCAGTACTGAGAAAACAAAGGTGCCATGTAGGATACTCACGCTACTGTTTCCAGCTTCTTGAATTCAGGGATGGGCTCTGACTTTTTGCGGGACATGAACCAGTAAATAATGAGGCCAATAATTAGAGAAAAAAGAAAGATATCCAGGTTGCTTAAAAGAGGCTCCTCTTCCTCGACCATAGTTTGGGTGGTTTCTGTGTCCATGTTGGCCGTTTTAACACTGAAAATAGGAAAATGAATAGTATTAGTTTGATCAATTAGGACAAGTGATGACATGAAAAGTGAACTATAACAAAAAACATATAATTAATTTTAAGCTCAACAGATGAGTTTTGAGTACCTAATGTGTAAAAGAAAGATTCAGTGCAGACGTTGGTTGACATAAAAGCTTGAGTAGTAAAAGATAAGCAAATGCAACACTCGTCCGTCACTGCGGTGCACACATTGGTTATGTAAAAGAAAACTTGCTGATGAATGATAATAATTCCAAGATTATATACTAAACAATTATTTGTTAAATAAAATGCCAAAGCAAACAAATTAAATTTAAATATGAATTTCATTTACTCATATCTGCGTAACTGAGATGGTGTACCAATATATCAGAGATGAAAAACCTTATCAAAATTTAAATGAGAAATGTATAAAAAGTTAAAAGAATATTTTTCATTTATTCATTTTCTATTTCTTGATTCTTTTCAGGGGTTCTTTGCAGGTGAGGCTTGAGCAAATTGTAGCAGTCTGCAAGGCAGAAGCCAAGCCATTTTACCACCATGTAAATCAGGAATCCAGCTTTCAAATAAAAATGGCATAAAAATGCTCACGAAAAAACAAAAAACAAAAAACATAACAAACATTGGATTTATCTTGCTTCAAAATATCGGCCTCTGGGAGCAGTGTTATGATGTCTCAGGATCCAGAATTACCAGACCAGGTCAGCTGACTACTTCTATCAGTGTAGAGATCAATTTCTATTTGTCATTAGTGAAATTTTGCTTCCTGTTGAAACAAGCATGTTTCAAATAAACAGGGGCTACACAACTTTGACTTAAACTGTCAATTTTAAGTTCCAGTGAGATAAAGTAAAGCAAGGTGCAACTTAACTGCTAACACACGAGAGCAGATACTTTGAGGTTTTGCTGTAAAACATTACATTAGGATTTGCCTAAGAGGCTGCTGCTCCTTTCACATAAAAACAAGAGGACTTCATGTACTACTCAGCTCTCGGGTTTCACATTGGTTTGGAGAATAAAAGCCCTGAGATCAGGTTCATTTGCCACCTGCCAAATCTCAGCTATGTACAATAGTTAAACGTACAGCACCACTCGGACAAAAATCACAAAGAACAATGCACTGTGTATCAATAGGTATGGAAAACAGGTGCAACCCAATATATTGTGAAAAATGAAAATGCTAAACAAAGACAAATGTCATTAATTATAGTGATTTTAGGAACTTGGCAGTTATAAGTTATAAGTGTTTTGGGACAGCCATCAGAATGTGATCATCTAAGTGTTTTTGGGACAGCCATCAGAATGTGATCAGACAACAACAGACACTGCTGCAACAGGCTTCCCCTTGGAGTCGCCAAGTATGTGGTTCCTCTTTATTTAGAACCCAGAAACTTCTGCATACTGTATATGGCACATGTGTCATCAGGCACGATAACTGCTGTGGAATCATCATATGGAGCCATAAAGTGAAGTCAGTAGAGTACACAGTCTCGTCCTGAACTGCTGACTCATAAGCACAACCGTGTACAGAGGTGTCTGTGTGACAACCAAGTGGTACAGAGGTCACAAAAGAAAACCTACAAAAGTAGACAAATACCTGCCAGTCATGGACGCACAGCACTCGTCAATTAAATGAACTATTCTGATGCTATTTCAAATTATTGCACAAAATCTTACCTACATAAAGCTGTGTTCATACAACATGCTGTGGTCATAAGCAATTTTGTTAAATGTGTCTATTGAGAATATTGGAGAAAGGTGACAGAGTAGGTTTAAAGGTGTTTTTGTATCACGACTGTTGCATGGCTTTTAGAGCCATGTAACCGTTTCAGTCTCATATGTCAATGTCCCTCTATTAGTTTAGATATCCACTTACCATGTCGACTATTATCTCCAGTAGAAATAAGCAACTCAAACTGAATACACAGGTGCACTGTCTCCTGGGTTCATAGTATACCGGTGCTTGGGAACAGAAAATACACAGATCCTTATAATGACCTAATATATGTTTAGTGCTTTGCTGTATGCTTTCTATCCAAACCTTTGTGAGACACTTTGACTGTCAATTAGAATAAAGCCTCAGCACCCTAGGGTTTACTGTCAAAGTAATTAAGAAAAAAAATCATTTAATCAAACAAGTTAAAATACAGATGAACAGATGAAAACAGATGAAACTCTTGTATAACTCCAGTTATGTATGATCATGAACCCTTACGTATTATGATTTTTTCATTAAAAAAATATATACATATATAGAAGCAAAAATGAATCACTGTTATGAACTCTGACAAGTAAATTCCACAAATTACTGCAACAACGTGCAATATTTTGTTGTGGTAAAATTCTTGCCTGCCGTGCAGAAGAAGATTTCCCATTCAATTCGACCTAGTCCACTAACCCAGAAAGGGTTTTAGGTGTAGAAAACTTTGTTACATTTTCACACAAATAACAGCTAACAACAGCTTTTTATTACAATAAAAAAGTGTAGTTTCCTACTTTCCGTTTCTTTTCCAAAATGTAAACCCCGTTTTTGAGAAAGGTTACAGCTAGAGTTATGAGTTATATTAGAATATATTAAGGTTGGCAGAAATTCTGTGAGTAATAAACGGGTTAGTGGGTATACTTAACAACTACTTATATGTACTCTAGAGCCTAACTTTTTTTTTTTAATTAATCAAACAGATATGATATGACAATTCCACGAACAATATGTGCAATTCATGTTAGCCAGAAAAACCCTGTCATAGTTGCAGTTCCTATAAATTTGTGGAAACGTGACGTGTGCCGGTACCAACTTTCATTCATTTCGTGCCATAATCAATGTGGCATTTAACTGACAGCTCAAGAGTCCAACAGTAAGACTAGATGTTACCGGAGTTCAACCCTTTCTGCATAAAACACATGGATCGAGACTCCGTAGCTGTGCTTTAACCTAAAACATTTAAGGGTTTCCCTTTTATATAAATATCAAATTACCAATAATCCAGGTAAATAGCTAATTTAACCAACAGTGGTGAATTTAGGGGTAAGGCCATTCCCGATATCGGCATACAACATTGATTTATAAAATCTGACGACATAAAGGCTTACAATTCTTAATAATGGCCTAAATGACATCGAAAATAACACAAAAACAACGCCAAGGCTGGTCCTAGTCTTTATATTTTTAAAGTCAACGGGTTACATAAATAGTTGAGCAGGGACAATATTAGAAGTTAGCCTTGCGTACAAGTCAACAATTCATACACGCGAGTCACTTAAAACCGCAATATTACCTGTGCTATTTCTATTTTGTTCGCTTTGACTACTACGATGACTACGATATTTTTATCTCTGAAACATATTCCTCAGAAACTGACACTCACACGCGGTTGAATAATAGTCTTAAAATGTGTGGGTTTTTAAAGAACTCACCTTCCCTGCTTGTCGTTTCAGACACACAACTGTGTTCTAAACAGAAGGGAACTTTACGCCAAGTAGGAACGAACCATCTTCTGCTTTACGGCGGGGGTTGTCCTCAGCTGTTGCACATGCTCACTTAACTTCCGCTGGTTGGGTATTAGCAAAACATTTTTAAAGCAAAAAATAAATACTTTAGAAGACCGATTCGTTTTTTAAATGTAGGTCGCGTAACTGTTCGGCTTTGAATTTTCAAGTGGTACGTTTTGTGTTCGGCTGGCCCGGTCTCTTAAGGCAGTATTTAGTCAACGTGCACATGCAGGGTGTTACGTGCGAAGACCGGGAGTGGGCTGAGGTTCATGGTTATGTAATTCCACGCTCTACTCCTCAACAAGGACATGTTAGGGGTCTTTCAAACTAGGTCACCACTCACTTCTTTGCCACGTCAAACGGTTAAAATTGAGTACGTGTGTATTATTCACTCAAGAGGGAAGATGCTAAAATTGTTTCTTAACTACAATTGTTAAAGTAATGATGTAATGTAATGCCCAGGTCATATTCCCTGCCACACCAATTTTAACTGCTCACGATACGAACTTTGCAGCACTCATGTGAGCGTGTGATAACCTTTTGTGCTCAGATAGATATTACGTTTGCAAAGAATAAATCCCCTGTTCCTACGTTTGCCTCTGGTTATAATTTTATGTGCATTCAACTTAAAAAAATAGCCATAGAACTATTTGTTGACTGCTGTTTCTGGAAAATAACTTTACTGTGATTTTGAGCTGTAGACTTTTGTTTGTGCAAATCCTTTCATTTGGAAGCAAATTCTACACCGACTGTATTTGCATTTCAGGCATTAAAATGCAATTAGTTAAACCACTGCATTGTTTGTTTTCACTTTGATGCAGATAAAGTGATTTAACTTGATGTGAGTGGTAGTTTAACTTGGATAAACTTTGCCCCTCTAATAAAATTTATATTTTTATTTAAATGTTGCCTAATGTTACACAATATATGTTGCACTGAGCAACCATACACTACCTTCGGTGTTTTTAAAAATATCTTCTACTAGGTCAGAAGGAAGGAAAGTCAATTACTTGTTATTGCGATATGGCACACAACAAAAAGTGACCTCTGCGTTTTACCCATTGCTGCAGTGAGCAGGGGGCAGCTGCCGCTACTCAAGGAAGGAGTGCCATGGTCAGGGCATCTCCGTCACAACTTGGCAGCAGTGGACTCAAACCTAAAACCCTCCAGGCCTAAGACTGATTCCTTAACCACCAAGCTACCACTGCCTATCAAAGACAATCATCATCTAACATAAAGATGCATAAAACTGGAAGTGATTTCACTTTTTCTGTCTTTTTGTGGACAACATAAAAACAAAAAAAGCAAAGGCATTGGAGTTAAATATTTGTATTTATTTTGCCACTGTAAGAAATTGTGCAAGGTACAGTTTTATACTTATAAATTGACTGCACATATGTACTTAATCAAAGTGCAATCACAGACTCTTTGGTTTCTGGCTCACAAGCTTCCGAAGAAACACAGCCAGCGTGGTAAAGAAATTTCCCAGGAACAGAATGAAGAAACAGAGACCGCACATCAACACCTGGCATCATAATGGAATCAGAAAAAAAGAACTCATGACATAATTTTCTATTAGTAATTCAAGCATTTTTGTCAGTGGTTAGCGCTTTGGGTTTGTACTGAAAAGTCTGACTAAACTTGTTTTGAAAAAAAAAACCTCCTGAACTTTAACTGTGGAAAATGTGCCAATTTGCTGGGAAGACATGAATAAAAACAGAACATTTCAATTGCTACTTAATAGTAACAGTGAATTAAAAGAATGTGAAAAGCACGGACCTGCCATTCTTTATACTCTGGGAGCTGGGCCATCCTGAAGAGACAGAGGCTATTGTAGAGCTGCCAAAACTACAGGACAAAATAAAAGGGAATTAAAAGTTTATGGTTATTCACATTTATGTAGACATACATAATAAAAAAAAAAGATGTAGCCAAAATGTAAACAATAGTCCTATCTAGGGATCCAAAAACAAGACATCATCATTTTTGCATATACAGGCTGTGATTTTTTTGTTCAGTCTTAACCATGACAAAGCAAGTATTCAAAAGCACGATAAACACTTAGAGAAAGGAAATTCCTCACAGCAACTCAGCCACAGACTGTACTCACATGACCAAAAAAGAGGAAGGGCAAAAGAAATGTCAGCCCTTTCCACATCCAAGACTGAAATCCCTCTGATAACAAAAAACAGAAAAATGTTGATTTGATTCTAATTTTTTTCCCATTCCAGCAGATAAAGACAAAACAGTACTGCATCTTTGTCATTAACATTCATAGTGAAGCTCACCCACAGTTAGATCCATGTTGTGTCGTTCTCCGAGTGCTCGTAGCCGGTACAGGCACCCACTCTGATAATAACACTGCAGACACTGAACAAAACCTTCCAGTCCGAAAAAGTAGAAAATAGTTAGCATATGATAGAAACGTTAAACAATGAATGTTTTTACAAATAACTGGACCTTACTTTGATAGAATGAATAGGCGAGGAACTGGTTCCTGAACATCTTGTAAAAGTCTCCATCTGGCCTTGAAGGTTAAATTCAGGCAATTGACTTTAAAGGATTGTGCAATGTACAGAGACAAAGTTGCCTAATCTGTGAAATTTAGGCACAAGCTTCTCATACTCACCATGTAACTTTTGCCTAATCTGTGAAATTGAGGCACAAGCTTCTCATACTCACCATGTTAATATCACACCAGACAGAAAAGCTGAGATGTAGTGATGAAAAACCCACCAGCCTTTGATTCTATGATGGACAGCACACAATATACCACATACACCATGATTACCTTGTTTTTATTATTATTTTATACAAATCAAAACACAGAGTGGTGTACTATTATTTCTGAAAATACTTTTAAATTCTTGAAATTGACTGTGGGTTTTTTTTTTTTTTTCTGGTCTGAATCATTCACACTCCTCCACTTTACTTGCTTGTAAGAGACATAATTAGGCAAATGTTGAGCTCATATCTGCCCACTTTGGTGTGTCATGCTGCTGTCCTACCTGGTTATAAAATCACCAAAATTACTTTTATTCATTAAGAAAACAACATCACTGAAAATACCAGTGGAGATCATTATTTTTCCGGTTAATATCTGTACTTCAGTGTCCAAGACACTAACACCAAAGACAAACCGCTGAGACTGATCTTACCTGGAGCCATTACTGATGAGGATACTTTCCCTGACAGTTAATGTGCAGTAGTACCACAGCAGCAGGAAATTGAGGATTGCGTCCAGAAATCTAAATTTAGGGACAGCACATACTTCAGTGGATTTAGGTCTCAAATTAGAGCCAGTAGAGTGATACACTGTATTGTGTACTGATGCATAAACACCTGTAGGCCACGAAGAAGTAGCATATGAAGGATATAAGCAGCAGGACGGCCATGGTGCACAGCTTGAACTTCTCGTATTCATCTTTGTATGCAAACCTAAAAGAGAAAATGAAGTTTCAGTCAGGAATGGTCTTCATCATAAGGTAACGTAATTTCTGGTCTATAAGCAGCTACTTTTTTCACACACTTTAACCCTGCGGCTTAAACGGTGATGCGGCTAATTTATAGATTTTCGAGGTAGACTGTGTGTTATATTAGTAGCGTATGTCTGTCTGTGAATAGTTGTGTGCATGTATGTACGTGGGGCGCACGAGAGAGAACGGTAGCGGAAGTTGAGAGCAGTTTGTAGCCCTGTCATGTTAAAGCGTGAGTTGTGAGCTAAGTGAAGGGAGTTAGCGCCAGAGGTAATGTTAGCTCAGTCTCCCCTGTGCATTTCTACTACGCTCGGGGCGCCAAAGCAGAAAAGAGCTAACGTGTAACCAGCCGTGTTACAGGCACTGTTCCGGAAAAAACCTTTATTTATTTAAAAGGGGGAAAAAAACGTTCTTAGTAAACTCTTTCTGTGTAAATATCCCATGTTACAACATGGACACCTGCCGGCTTATAGAGAAGTGCGGCCTATTGGTCCGGAAATTAGCAACTATGAGTAAATGTCAGTATGAGACCATTAAAAATGTATATGTACAATTGGTCCGGAAATTAGCAACTATGACTAAATGTCAGTATGAGACCATTAAAAATCATTTGTGTACTGGAGGGATATTTTACATACCTACCCCTGAGAATATTATTAAAAACGTGTCTTTATGATAGGAAAAGTTTCTTTAACACAGCATTTGTGAACTACAACTATATTTTTGTTTTGGACTTTATAACATTAAGTGGTATATATAAAAAATGATGTAATTTCAAAGAAGACTGATGCCCTTAAAAATGCATTATGATCATATAGGCGTGCTCCAGTGAATTTGTAGTACAAATTGATTTATTTTTTTAAAAAAATGGGTTGCTCTTAGTGTGAAAACATTTTAAATTCTAAAAAAACATACTTCATACTTTTGGATTGTATTTAACGGCACAGTGAACACAGAGTATTAATAGTACTAATGAAAATAAAAAAATGTATTTTCTGTCCTGGCTTCGAAAGTGATTTCTTACTTTGACTGTTTGTTGAGAAGCGTGACATTCACGTTTCCAAGGACCAGGCTTAGATATAACCTAAAATAAAAATAATAATCATAATTACTCAGGCCATGAATAACTCTTTATATGACATCCATACTAATGTGCGAGAAAGATGAAGTTGTCACCCATTTTTCTTAGGGAGGTAGGCTTCCATCTCAGAAAAAGTATTCAGGTGAACTTTGATTTTGCTCTTTATCTCATCCAGAGCTTCAGCCTCTCTGTCTGATGTTCCGGTTCTGTATTAGAAGGACGTAGTAAGCAGAAATGACCCATGTGTAAGAACACAACCTGCTGCAATTGTGGTTATGTGATCGTTTTAGTGAGAGTTTCTTTCATTACGTTTGACTTACTTATCCACCAGACTGGAGTGCATTTCCTTAAGTCTTCTTCGCTGGCTTGTAATGGAAGCAGAGCAGCTGTTTTGTAGTTTCGAAATTTCCTCCAGTTTGTGTAAATACATTGTGTGTCTCTCCTAGAAAATAGATTTGAATCAGTGATTCAGTTGCAAATCCGATACCAAGGTCAACAATCAACAAATATTTCTTACCTGAAGTTGTTTGTACTCTGCGTCCACACTTTCCCACTCATCCTGGAGGCTTGTTAAACTCTGAGACATTTTTCTTCTGACAGTTGATCTTTCAATTATGTACACCTACAACAACAACGAGAAGTAGAAATAGTATCAGCGGGAACCAACAACTTGCACCGAATGCTCTATGGATTTCTCTTTAAGGTGTGTAGTCCATCTTTGTGCATAGTTTCTTGCATAACCTGAACTTTGACAGGTAAGAATGTGAAGGGTTTCCAATTGGACGTTGTCCCCCCCTCCACCCTCAAAGTGAAATGCAAATTGTGATCTCATTGACCAAATGATTAACAGAATAAATGGCTCATTTATATCTTTTTATGTAAGTCAGTCTCAGTCAGGTAAAATGGTGACACTTGATACAGTAATACATCTAGCTTGATGCACCTCAGTCGCACCTGGAGGATTTGACCTTCCAGACACAAGTCTAGTTACATAACATTTGACATGATAAGACATTTAACATTTGACATGATATGACATAAAGTAACTTAAAATAACACTGTAAATCAGCACCATCAGAACCCAGTGCAGTGCGGATGCTTTTTTTTTTTTTTTACATTGCCTTTTGTACTAAGAGAACATGTATGACACAACATTGACATTCCAAGTGATGTCAAGTACACAGTGATGAAAAACACATAAACAGGTGCAACAGTGGCCAACTTTACAACTCAGTTTTACAACTCAATTCACTGCTCTAAATATTAACATTTAACAATAAAGGGACACTTTTTTTGCAGCCGTCGACACTTATACAAATAATCGTCTGACTCTGCAATTGACTCTCCTTTACTAAATCAGTGAACTACTTAACTTTACTCTCAAAATATTTTAGTGAGCACATCCAATCATAGAGTCCATGGTTAACATTAATCATTTTTTTAAAACAACGGAAAAAAGTAAGAAAAAATTTGCTTGATTTCCCCCGGAAAGTGCATGTCCAAACACGTGTATTTTGTTAGCGTAGCACAGCCTGGTTAACATTAATCAATTTTTTAAAACAATGGAAAAAAAGTAAGAAAACATTTGCTTGATTTCCCCCGGAAAATGCATGTCCAATCACGTGTATTTTGTTAGCGTAGCACAGCGTTCAGTTCACCCATACAAACCTGGCCATATATAGCGTGAGATGTGTCACGTGACACGAATGCGTCAACTCGGTCTTGTTGTGACTTTTCGTGACGTACGTTTTGGCTTTGGCTTCTTTTCGTGTGTTTTCTAGTATTGCTACAATTGACAGTGAGGTTGTCGATTTCAGTATTGAAAAGGTTTTTACGGGGCTCATTTTCCAGAAATTTTGGCTGGTTTTGACCCGGGTTTATTTGCTGGACACCATGGTCTGCATGTGACAACAACTGACGGAAAGCCGGTCTGCTGCTGTTTGTCAGAGAAGTCCAGTTCCTTACTACATGTTTCCACACACTAGTCTTCTGAACAGGTCCACTGACTTACGTTCTCGTCTACCAAATATAGTGAGGACAAAGATTAATATCAGGAAAAGCAAAAAATATTTAAATTAACATAAAGGTAAGACTCCCTCGTCCCTAGCCAAGCTAGTGTTAGTCAGGATGCTAACGCTATCTATTGTCATACTTTAAAACACCGGTTTATGGTAGAACAGAACATAGGTATTTGTGTGTTATTAACATTAATTAAGATTCAGAGTAGCGTCTTTGTACAGTGTTTACCATTTAAACTTTACTTTTTAATTCAACATTGTATGAGTCAGGGAATAACAGGAAGGGGCTTTAACCAATAACACATTATAATATATAAATATAATCATTTAATACATAACGAATAATACCATCAATAGCACTAACCACGATGCAAGCGAGTAGTTACTGCAAGGGTTTAGTTCGGTTTGAAAAATGACATTCACTAAACTAAGTTTGTCAGTGTGCTAAAACAAACAAACAAGCAATAAAAAAAAAAACGTCATTTGACATTTTGCTTGTTAAATTATGGGTCACGTACATTTCCAAACCACATATTTGATTTTTTTATTCAATTTTTGAGCACCTACCTGTTCTAAAACCTACTTAATATTAATTATTAATATATGTGTTAAAAGAACTTTCTTTGGTTCTTTAGCAACTGGTAAGTAAACTGTAAATTTGATTGGATGTAAAACTTCCACTTGATTGTTTGTCTTCGCCTGACAACTGTTTTTAGTTACTAATCAATATAGACTTACCTTAGAAACTCAGCTCCATGTTTTTCAGCAGTCATTGTTTGTTGTAGTTGTTGAGTACATTCTGGTCCATCCGAGACCTTCAGTGTGTTTTTTTTTTGTTGTTGTTGTTGTTGTTGTTGTTGT